GTGAGATAACCCGACCCCCTAGTAGTTTGCCTGACGTGCAAGGAGCAAGATCCCTCGTACCCCGCTGACCTTTTAGCTCTGGATGAAGCAGCACGACGTCGTGCAGGACCCGGAGAACCTGCAAGCAAGCGTCAGCACAAAGCCTGGGCACCAACAATGCGGAATTCTCAAAGATCTGTCTTGCCCTTCCGGCTTATCTCCCGAACAGCTGCAGAACTGTGCTCCACCTGCATCACAATTGATGGCCTCACAGACAAGCTCCTCTGTGGGGGCACCACTGCCGAGGCCATGTCCCTTTGTCAGGAAGTCCTTTGCCGGCCGGTATTGAAGGGGTAACGAAGGAGACAGCTCACATGACGCGATCAACATGCTGAGCCAGGTTGCCCCCAGGATGGTATCGAAGCGCACGAGCACAGGATGCCAACTGGAGGCTACCTCACCCACAGTCTCAGAGGGCTGCATGCGGCAGTCAGCAGCCTACCACCAAAGAGCTTCCTAAATCCATGATACACTAATGCTGGCGTTCATGTTTGCTAGGTGCCCCCGCGCACCGCTCCCAGCTTTGCACTCGCAGGGGCTCCAGGTGCCCCAGCAAGTCGGACTGGCCCAAATGCTCGAAAAGCTCTTGCGGTTTAGGGACGTATGCAATGACTGTTTTGGAAAGTCTTGAAGCTCCGGCTAGCTATTTTATGAGTGGCAGCCAAATGCTCTCGCAAGCATTTGACTGGCCATTTGTGCGCGCCAAGCCTGATCGCATTGCGCGAGCTGCTCCAAAACACGCTGCTGCGACACTGGCCTGGTCTTGCATTTTTTGTGGCACGTGTAGTAAGGGTCAGCTCAACACACCATACCTCTAGGGGCTTGACGGCAAAAAGGGCAATGTTTTACTGCTGTTGCGTCACTTCACTAGCATCCAATAATCCGTTGCAGCCCATGCTTCAGCATGTCCTACGCGAATGGCTGAGCCGCTGGCGGTGTAAGAGCCAAGGGGGAACTGACCGATGCCCTAAGCGACCCCGACCTCAAGCTGGTTCCGGTGGCTGTAGCTGATACTAACCTCCGCTGCACTGCATGGCCAAGATGGACCTAGGGTTCTGACATGTTGGGCCAGCCGTGCCCGCATGTGGTGGCAGCGGCAAGAAACCAAGCGTTGTTCTGCTACAATTGTCTGCTATGGTCTTGTGGGTTGCGCCGTCGGATCTGCACCAGACCAACATAAGCTTTGAACAGCTGTGCATGGAGAGTTGGAGCCGTGAGCTGTTCTACGACCATCACCACATGGTCTTTGTCATTCTGCGGCGCTGCTTACGAGTGAGCATGTATGAGTCACCCGGCCGTTGTAGAAGCCTAGGGTTAGAATTCAAGTCTTGGTTGCTGCGTCAGTGCGGGTCTCAAAGCGTAGGCTAAGAATTCGCCAAACCCCCAACTAATGTCTTTGCGACGAAAAACGCCAGACGGGAGAAGGAGAGCACGTGAGCGCACCAAATAGCAAGCGCCGAATCAGATGACCTTGTCAGTAATCCTCGCTACCGCGAGTGCATGCCAAGAAGGCCAAACGCTTAAGATATCGTCTAGATCTGGGGGCTGAAGCAAGTCAACTATGACAACTTGCAGTGACAGATTCTACGCTGCCTTTTCCCCCGCTGAACTTCTGACAACGAGCCTGCTGTCTACTAAGACGCGCGTCCACTCCTACCTACGTCTGGACTTCCATGTTACTTGGTGCACGAGCTGCATCTCGTGCACGCGCATGGACGGTGAAACAGAAGCCTTCGAAACAAAAATTCGGAACAAACATCAGAGCCAAGCCATGAGAAAGACTTCCCAGGATCTAGGCGCGACTAGTCCTCCTAGTCCTCCATTCCCCACATGCCATCTTCCCCTCCATAAAGCATCTTCGTTGTCTCGTCTGCGAGCTTCCTTGATCTACAGCGAGGCCGAACTTGCTGCTCGAAGCGACAACTTTTGTCATCTGCGGTGCATCTAAGCTCTGGACCGCAGAGCTTGGTCTCGAAGGGTGTGATCGCTCAGGCAGACCATCATCTGAGTGCGTTACTGCGAACGACCCCTTCAAGCGCTCATTGTAGCTCTGACTGCTGGGCCTCGGCCAGGCCTTCCTCCGAAGGGTCAAAGCCCCACTTGGACAGCACAGGCTCCTGCACCTCAAATTTTGCAGCTGAAAATTTGCTAAAACCTCCCCAGGCTGTCACTTTTTCCCACGCTCAAGGGTTGCCGATGGCCACTTCGAGCATCTCGGGGAGGCCCGGCACGTGTGGAAAAATTGGATCTCAAAGAATTCAAGGAAACCTCCAACACTTTGAATTGAACAGCTAAGACATCAATCAAGAGGTCTCCAGAGGTTGCAGAGGTGAGTCCACATTCCAGTGTCTAAGACCTGGAGCTGCCAACACTGCATGGCTCCCTTTGCCGAATCTGCTTGTCTCTGCTTTAGTAAGGATGCTTCTGTGCTGAGGGTTTCTTCATCAACATTGCACGTCTGTGCTCGTGCAAGGGCATCGAGGCTGCGAATCGCAGCTCTGCTGTTAAAGTGGCCTACTCTTGACGTAAGGCTTGATCGCTACAGGCGTGCCGGCTCAGCCTTTCTCAAAAACTCGCTGCGGCACCTGCCTTGCATTGCAACATTGGGCAAGCTTGGCAAAGCATGCTTCTCGAGCCCTTTAAAACTCGCTTCTGTCAAGCAATGTGTCAAGGTTGTAAGCTTCTGTGACTTCCTGAGGCAGTGGCTGACGAGCCCGGGGGCCTGACAAGGACAAATTGGGCTGCTCCGGCCCAACATGGTCCAACAAGGCTGCACAACAATCAGCACCTCATGCACCAGGCTTGGGAAGCTTGCCGCTGTCCAGCTCCTTCTGCATCCTGGCAGGAAGTAACCAAGCATGTCCCACGAAAGCTGACACGTCTGCTTCTTATCAAATGCAGCGGTCGAAAAAAATCTTTCAACTCACGCTGGCGGGACTGTTCTTTGGTGAGCAGACCAGGCAGCCTGGCAAGTGCAGTTCAGGCCCTGGGCAGAGTCTTTGCTAGGGGGTTAATGCAGCACAAGGCACTGAATACCTTTCTTGTCCTGCATGAGAGGCTTGCCATAGTCGGCCTACTCGATGTCACGAGAGCGGGGAGGCCATGACTTCAGCACTTTACAGACAGCATGGCGATGCGCATGAGGCCTCAATCCAGGTCTTGCCACGCTCCTCGTTGAGGGGGTCATAGCCTCACAAGCCACGACACGTACACCTCACTGATGCTTTGATGTAGAAGCGCAAAGTCATCTGAGAAGAAGTCCAGACCAGGCAGCCAGCCCGCGGAAGAGACCTGTCTGGCCTCGGCAATTTGAGCAAAATGACTGCTCCAGAAATTCAAATCCTCAACTGGCCTCTGAGGCTCCAGGCCCTTGGCACCGGACTGGTCGACGTACTTCGGGAACCAACGCTTGTGGCCATAGCGCTTCAGCCAATACTCGTTCTCCTTAGCATGGTCGTGTGTTGGGGCAAAACTCTGGGAATGCAGTGTAGGCCCAGGGACAGCGATCTTCTTGGGGTCGTCGAGGCCGGCCTGGGCGATTTCCTTCTTCAGCTGACGCCTCAGCGGGAATGTGCACAACTTTCAGCATTCGGAACTGATCTGCTGGACGCAGACACTGCCACACCCTTCAAGGCCAACACAACTTGTCGTTGTTGCCGGTCCCGCCCAGCATCTCACAGCAGCAATGCCAGCAGTTTGGGTAGAAAGCATTAAGCTCTCATGCCTCACCGATCTTCCACTTGAAGGGGCCGATCTGGAGACTGAGTGCGAAGCAGGAGTACGCCAACAAGCAACGCTTAGGGCTTAGGTCAGATCATGCATCTTCCAACGCATGTCTTGTTCGTGTCAGTGAGGAAGAGTGTCCACCAAGCTTGCATTGTCATTGTGCGAAGGCTTTAAAGGGATTGCGCTGGATGAGCTCCGTGGCTGAGTTCCTGTTTTCCAAGTCAGCTTTTCTGCAACGCCCCAACCCGAAGTTGTGTTGGCCAAACCGAGGTAGCCGCGGAGCAGGGCAGTCAATGCCCTTCTTGAACTCCTCCGCTACTTGTAGAATTCACGTGCAGTTCTCCACTTGCAAGTGACCCGCAAGCTGACAAGCTGCATGAAAGAAGACATCGTAGAAGACATTGTGATCCTAAGAACCCCCCAGCTGTCCTCTGGTGAGGCTCGCATGCGGTATCGGTAACCTGCCACTAAACAAACTCCGTGGAATTGTTGGAGCTTCGCAACTCATTCCCAGCCTTGCGCCCACTGCGACTTCTCGAAGCCTTTCTCTCCGACCCAGTAACCTTCCTGGAAAGAGGCGGATTTGCTTGGAGGTCGGCTCCAAAACATCAAAACACTTCCCCATCCCGTCCGAGGTCTGCAAAGATCGATCGCCATCCGAGGCTTCCAGCATCTTGTCCAGCCCTCACTTACGGAATTTAGACGATTTGGATAGCTTAGTCTACAAACGATTCCAGGCTAGCGCTGTGGGCCCCACGGTATCCCCTCATCTGCGTGGACCTGCACTGCTGATGAGCTTTGGCAAGAGTGTGCGGCCTCTTGACCGGCGGCTAGCAACCAAAGAGGCCTTGAATCCCGGCCGGTAAGACCAGCCTCAACATAAGGATTCGCCGTGCTGACACTCTCAATCCCAACATGATGAGATCCGCGCTCCAACGAAGCCCAGGCCATCCAGAGCAAGGTAGGTGGCGCCCAGCACGAAGGCAAGCCTGTGTTCAGATGCTTGCACTGAGGCTTGGCTGGAGATACCTTTCAGGATTGCCTCGCAAACCCGTGCAACTTTTGGGGCTTGAACAGAACTCACAAAACAACCTGACAAAAATGCAGCCTCTTCGAGTCTCTTACATCATGGGAGCAGAACAACTACGTCTAAGCACAGCCCGCATTTCCTGCAGCTCTTCTAGTACTCATGTGAACACTTTCTTCCCTCGGCTGGGCCCAGAATGGTAAGTCAAGTCCTTGGGTGCAGGGATCTATGAGGCCCGCACGCCCCAGTCTGGCCCAACGCGCTGCGCCTCATGACTACCTCGCATGCGTGCCACTGCGTCCAACGTGCGAAGCCCTGCAGTTTCCCACCAACCAGGCCTCGGGAAGATCACAGCTTAACAGCCCTGGGGGGTGTAAAAGAAAAAAGGCTGCAGTTAGATTGAGCCGGACAGAGAGCAAGAAAAGAAATAGAGCAGCGAGCTGCGCACTTCGTGAAGGTCTCATGGAAGAGAGCAATATTTGCTCTCAGCGCTGACCCTCAAGGCCAAGGTGGGCACCAAAAAAGCGGTCTTCTTCAGCCGCTTCAGGAACGGCTGGAACTCAAACATCACAGCCTTCCAGAAAAAAACACACCTACTGACTTACTCAGCTAACTCCCCTCTACTCTACTACTGCATGTTGATGGCCTGCAGCTGCACAGTGGCGAAAACATGCGAAGACGCTCAAATTCAGATAAATACGACAAAGCTGAAGCACATCAATTCGTGGGACTTCTTAAGCCCGGCAGCCTTGGCATCTCCGTGGACCTCCCAAGCCATTTGTATCTTCCCTCTGATTGGAACAACTTCACTGCAAGAAATCTCACTGGGGTCCCCAGGGTTCACGTGGCTGCAGGTCATGCATGCAAGCTCAGATGGCGCCTTCTTTTGGAACCCCTCGGCGCTGTAGGTGCTAAGGAGCTCCTGTGGCAGGTTCACTGCTCGCGGACACGCACTGACATGGTAGAAAGGCAGGCACAGCAACCTTGACAGGCAGCTAGTGAGGCTGGCAGCATTCAGACAAGAACTCTTCTCTGTTGGCGTCGACCTTTAAGTCTTAAGCCAGGGACGAGCGTGAATTCTGCAGTGAAACCCTGCCTTGGGGATGCATGGTTTGCTCCCCGAATTCATGCAACCTAGCTACTCAAGCTGGCCCCTTCAGTCCAGACCCATACCAATATCCTCAGTGTCAACTGGTTGGGCTTCGACAAAAAGCAAAGCTGCCAGAAAGACATGACAAGCACCCATCTGCAGGGACGCTCGTTGCCTGAAACATCTTGCAGCTCACTCTGAATTACTCTGACCCAACTATGGCCGGGTGTCCAAGTTTGCCGGAGCAACTGGCGGATAGCCACCTGCCTGCTTCGCCTGCTTCGCCTGCGGTGGATATCCAGAGCTCTGTGGCGGCGCGGCTGATTTCGCAGCTTTTTTTCCAGAAGTGATCTTCAGCACCTCAAAAGAACAACGTCAAGGAAATGATGCCTTCTTGAGCTGAGCTGTTCTTTATGATAACAATTCTGATGCTGCAAATCCCCGCTCTAGCCAGCTTAGTGGTGAACGATTCCAAGTCATTGGCAAGGCACAACAGCTCGGCGCTCGTCCGAGACATAAATGGAGCCATCGGGTCCAAGAGCAAGACCCCACCTCTGCTCGAAGATCGCATTGCACGGCCGCAGAACTCCGAGGAGGACACCCCTGTCTCTGGATGGACAAGCCCAATGTTTGTCTGCCCAGACACGGTCGCTCTAGAACATCTGGTCCTGCCAGCATCTCGCCGGCCCCTCCTCCTTTGGCTCAGGGGCATCTATTTAAGCAATAGGCTGACTGGCTCTGGAACCTTGCCTTCGTGAAAGCGCAGCACTCGTGCGTTTGCTCGGTCCGCAACCAGGAAGCTTCCATCGGTCTCAACCACCAAGCCTCTCCACTTGCAGCATGGGCTACAGCTACATACGACTGGTCGCCAGAAGGCATGGCCTTTGTTTTGGGTGCTTTCTATATACATCCTGTGACAACGTTCCTGTAATGTTGGACCCTCTTTAGTATGGCCCCCCCAAACAATTTAGGGCGTCCACGGTCTAAGCTGAATCCTAATGGTATAAGCAGGGCATAAGTATTAGTAGTGTTAGTACTAGTACTAATATTAGTCTGAGTATGAGCATTAGTAAATGTTCATAATTTGTATTAAGATTCGTAAGTAAAGCTAGATGCTTTATGTCTTCAAACCTACAGCATTTCTATTTTGGCCACCAAAACTTGACATTATAGAGGGCATCCCAAACGTATGCTGCTCCTGAATAGTTTCCCCGAAACTTGATGCAAAAGAGGGAAGCCGGACAAAAAAGGATGCAACATTAGCATCAGCTTCCCTCGTTTCATTTCAAGCCGGCAGGAGAAAATTTCAGGTCAGAGCCAGAGGCCATGAACAAAACAATTCTGCACCATTCCTGGCACATGCGTCACAGAACTCTGACGTGCAAACTCATGGTATCGTGAAGTCTCGTGAAGTCACATTTCACCCAACATGAATGTTCGAGTCTTCCTTGGCCTGTGGGCATGTTGAGCTCTGTCAAACTGCTCCCAGCTTTGCACTCTGCCGAGCCAGCCAAAGTCTCTCCTCGCAGATTGGAATATGCAACTCTCAGGGAGCCCTGCCGCCACTTCGTCCGGATGTCGTCGGTATTTGGGAGGATAAACATGCCTCGTTTACTGGGGCCAGCCTCTTGACATCACCACAGCAGGCTAGGATCCAACAGACGAAAGAGGCCCACACAACTACCTATTCCTGCACCAAAAATGACAAAGCTGCCCCCCGCAAATCCCTCTCTTCTTCTTCTATAGGCTCTGCGAGACCCTCAGGCCCCGCCGGGGCGAACCCCGAGCCTGCAAGCAAATTCCTCTCTCTCTGTCTCTGTCTCTGTCTCAACTCAACGAAGCTGACAATCCGAGGCCATGAAGGCAGCAGGCCTTGCCGCTCTCCCGGCCGAAAGCGTTGTATCCGATGGTTGTTGGTGTCCGACACCTCCGTGGTCACCACTCTAGCAGTCTAGCAAGCGCATGCTTAATCTCTGATTCTGGTCCAGGCAGCCAACAAAGACCCATCAGCGCAGAAAGCTATGCAGCTCGGGAAGTTCAACTGCGCAGCTTCGCTTCCACCTTTGAGGCACTGACTCCGAAATCCCGCATTGCAAGCAAACAGGAACAAGCACGTCAAGCCGAGTCAAGCCACATGAATTCGGGGTGCCAGCCAGCACATCAGGAGCAGAAGTGCTCGAGGCCTTGAAGCGAAGAACACGATGGCCTTAGTCACCAACACCAACCTTTGCAAGCTCGAGGCCGAACCTTGAGGCCGAGCAGCTCCAAGTGTCGCAAACCACAATGCTGGCTTCATGGCAGAGAAACGATCTCGGGTGCCTCTGTCATCCGCATGTCTCTAGCTTCTCCCTGAAGACTGTAATCGCATCTGAGCCGTATGCTTTAGGGCTTCTGGTGCTGCCACCGACTTTGCCTGGGGTACGTTGGTCACAGCAGTATCACATAAATCCATCCTGAACACTCTCAAGCTAAGAGATGCTGAACATGCACTTGGCGTGTGCCACCCTAGACATAAGACCCCAAATCTCAAGCGCCAAGACGCTGAGGGAGCCATCGGATACGGGACAAGAACGCGACCAGCCGAAGTCTGGCCTAGCGCCAGGTTGGCACCATCGGCACGAGCGCCATCAGAAAGAACTTTAGACGCTTTGCCTGAGGGACTTGGCTCGAAGGCTTGCACACGGGCAGCAGCGCAGTCCAGGATCAGGAGCCCATCCCTCAGGTAAGGCAAGGGTGGGACGTCACATCTCCCATCTGCACCTTACTAAGCCCACTGCGGGGTAGTGACGACATCGATGGGGTTCTTCAGAAGGAAGCCTTCCCCTTCTGGTGTAGCTAGCGGCCGGTCGATGTCCTGCTGCGTCATGAGCAATCACACAAAGAACTCGCAGGGAAAGGCCTTCTTATTTTGGAAGAGGCACCATTACGACGGGTTCGTTTGATCAATCACAAAAATAGCTACTGCACATAGGACATCTTGCTATGTATAGGTCGGTCTCACATGATAGATGTACGTGCTGTTTAGAGTTCAGTAATGTATGCATCGCAAGAAATGTTCGTGCGCGTTGTGGCCATAGGAGCTTGTCTGCTCAGGCTAGGCCGTTCGGCCTTAAGGCCGGGCTCCACTGGCGCCGACTCCCTCCACCCCCTGCCCCCCCGGGACCTCCGTTTCGCCAAGGGACCCTCCCAGTTCCCGCTCCACGCACTCTCAAATTCACATGCATTTTTGAAGCCCCTGAAATCAGCATTGAACACGGACCGTTTTGAAAAGTTGCCCCCAGGCTCGTCTTGGCCCCGAGTCAGGGCGAAACCAGATTGCATCACTTCCAGACGGTTCAAAGAGGTTCCAAGATGGAGAAACGGGCCCCAATGATGCTGATGATGCTGGTCATCGGGGCCAGCATCCATTTGGGAGCCATTTCTCCATTTGGGGCCTTGTATGTTGCTTGGCCGGGAGAACTTGCGTGAAATGTCACACGGGACTTGAAAGTTTCATGAATTTGCGCTAGCATGGTTTTGCACGCTTTTGAGCTTTTCGTGAGGGTTTAAGGGTCCAAGGCCGCAAATGGTTGATGAGCGAAAAAGGATCTGCATCACAAATGAAAGAGGAATCGAAGTCAGAGGCAGCTTACGTTGACGATGCTGCGTCCTGAGCCTTAAACCCTCGCCTTCTCTTAAGTTTAAATCCCCCCTCACGTCGGGTTCCACCAGGCAAGAAACAGGACACCATGATGTGGCATCGCAAACTGGACCCTCCCGCCCGCCCTCCGCGCGTGGGTTCATGCGCCGCGTTCGAGCATGCACCGGCACGCGGGCGGGGACGGCCAGAAGCGCCGTGTTGATGGAACATTGTTGCCAACGTCACGTGTACTGTATGGGAGGCGCGCGCGCCGGCGACCACTCCACAGCTCTCTGTTCACATTGCCTGCATTGCCTGCCCCTGGGCGCAGCCCCTTAAATCCGACCGGTGTCCAGGGCGGAGCCCGTGTCTAGAGCTTTAGCTCTACAGGGTGGCGCCGCCAGCACCGACCCCCCTGCCCCGCCCCAAATCAGCATCATCAGCACGAACCATTTTGAAAACTAGCCTCAAGGGCTGTCTTGGGGCAGGGTCGAGAAAAAATATGGACTCGATGAGAGGCCACAGGAAGCCAAAAAAATGGAGAAACGGACCCCCAATGATGCTTTCTGCTTCTGCCAGGCTTCTAGGCTGCCCATGGGTTGGATGCTGGAACACGGAGGCTATCATGAGTCTTTGCGAGTTATATGATGGGTTTACAAGATTTGTCCAAGAACTGTTGATAAGTTGGGTTCTGATGGGCTCCAGGGTTTGTGATGTTTTGTTGCAGGTTTACTGCGGGCTTTATGCAGATTTTATGGGATGTGCGTATGGATGTTCAGGTCTCGCATGCGCGCCGGTTTCCTGAGGATTACAAGATGGATTTGCGGGCTTTCCATAAGCGCTCGCAGGCTTCTTTAATGGCGGTGCCGACGAATTTCTGGGTGTGGGCCACTTGAACCGCTCACCAGTAGGTGCGAATGACCAAGAGATCAATTGACCAGCTGATAAAGGATCAGGAGTAATGATGTGAGGTCCGCTCTCCCTTTTGAATCAATCCACAGGGACCTCAGAACCGTGGGAGGCTGTAATGTAGGGAGGCAGGCACGAGGGCATCATTCTTATTAATCATCAGGCTTTTAAAACGGGTTTGGGATGTTTAGGTTACAGAGTCTGAGGTGGGGGGTAGGGGGTAGGGGTGGCGGGATTAGATAGTAAGGGGGAGGCTAGAAAGGACGGGGACGCTGGGAGCGTGCGGGGTTTTCCGCAAGGGACAAGGGGCGCATCTTTTTTGCAGAAGATAGGAGGATTGGTCACCGGTTAGTTATTTGAATGGGATCAGGTCAGAGTGTGAAAAAGAGCCTCTAGCGACGCTCTTTGTTCCGTCTTTGCGCGCTTCCTTTCTCTAATCATTGTCAATGCTTATCTCTGCGCACTTGAGGCTTCTCTATGGGCAGATGAGCTGATTGCCTGGCAAACTGCACGCGAAGCGGAAGCAAGAGTCCTTTAGATAGTCCACATCCAGGAGCTGCTTTCCATCTTCCCCAGCAACAACATGACCACGGTTGTCACTTTCTGCGAAACGGAAGACACAGAAGTTGGTGAAGTCCGCCACATACAGGGAGCCATCCTCAGCGACAGCCAGGAAACAGTAGGAGAAAGCAGTAGCAGTGACAACAAATACCGACTTCATCTTCAGAAGGGCACGCGGGTAAGCACTTAGCCGGGCACCCGGTCCACGTGGATACCCCTGGGCTGGCGTAAGAGGCGATGGCCGTCCTTTCCAATGCCCGTGCCTTTGCCACCTGACCCAGGCCATACTGTGCTTTGTACATGACATGTCAAGTCTGACATCATACGCAAACAGGCTCACATGTTGCATATCCTCAAGCACTTGAGCAAAACTTTGAAAAGGGCAGCAACGGCATGCAGTGGTAGCGTGGCAGACCTGCACCGTAACGAAAAGCTATACCTGTACCTGAGTTAGCGAAACCCTCGGAGCACATGCCAGGGAAAAGCAAGCAGCTGAGCAGCTGAAGTTGACAAAAAAATGCCGGGCTGCCAGTCGGCGCCATGGCAGCAAGTCCGCACGGAGGTACCACGGCAGCGCTTGCAACAATCTTTGAACAGGCGAGGTCAGCTGATCTTGAAACAGACTGTGACATACTTCAAGATGTTGTCCAAATGCAGCTGGAGATTTCATTTCTTTAGAGACTTGCGGACCTGGACGACAAGGAGGGCTATGCAGAGCCAAATCCGGCTACAAAAGTCGACAACTTCCTGTCAGCATTGGATCAGTCCACCTTCACTGCAGTCCTCCAGCAGCTGCTCTGCTTGGGCCTTGGTAAGTGTCCTGCATGTGGAATATGCTCTACTCCTGAGTTGACGTCCCTGGCAGACAGTCCAAAATTGTCTCTCCAATGTCAACCCTCTACCTTGTTTCCTGCTCTCCTGGTCCGTTCCGCTGATCGATAGCCAAACGGTGGCCTTGTCAAACAGAATTTTGAATTCAGCTGCATTCCAGGTGAACTGTCATGACTCGGCCCCTCCGAATCAGGGCTCTGGGCTTGTTGGGCGTTGGCATCTCAGGCTCTTTTGGCTGATCGATGATGGGCTTGCCTTCCTCGGCCCAGGGAAAGCTTTCCAGCCACAAAGCAAGACTGACTCTTTTGTCTCGACTCTCGACTGCCTTTTTTTCGAAGCCTCTAGCAATAGGACCCAGCAAGATACCACTTTCGGCCTTGTGCCGTGTGGCTGTGTGGTCACAGAAATTTTCTTTCTCCAGCAACTAGAAGGTCGGCATGGCTTCTTTAGCACTCTTCGCTCTGCATCGCTGGGAAGAAAACTGCAAGAAGGAAACCACATGTGGGCCCCCGGGATGACGCAAGCGCTAGTCCTGGATTCCTCCAAAACTTGCGGCGGTTGTGGGCTGCTCGTCGTGCAGAGGTCTTTGCTTAAGCGTGCGGCTATGCAAAAGCATCTCGAACGCCAAAGCTCAGCGACTTGTCCTCCGTGACCACCAGCCTTCAAGCATGATCAGCAATCATGCACTGTCTGTGAACTGTGAATTTCTGCGAACAACAACAAACCCAACCCCTGAAAGATGGTTGTTCTTTTTGTTCTATCCGGAGGCCTGGAGATGTGCTGGGCCCATGGAGACAGCCTGACAAGGTAGTCGAAGTCGTGGCTTTAAGCATGTCGAGGCGCTTATAAATCCTTGAGAGTTTGACCGCATGTGTCTGAGCTCCCTCTACAGATACCATGCCCTTCCAGCCTGTCGTATATGTCTCTGGGCATGCAGCGTGGCGCAAGCTTCCAGGGATTGCGCCAAAACTCATTGGTGGACCCACTGCACCACCAGGTGGCAGCAAACTCTACGTTTGGCAGGAAGCGTGTCCTCCCAGACCTGAGTTTCATCAAAGCACACACTCTGGAAAAACATACACATGTCAATTGAGGGCAGGGCAAATTGGGAGTGCCTCCGTGCCAGGCTCGGTTGTCCCGCAAAATGGCCGTGCCTCTCAGGCAAAGGCAAGTGGTCTCTGTTTTAGCATCTCTGAGCTCTGAAAAAGGTTTGGGCCTGCAGGGACTGGGCAGAAGGTGAAGCGACGCCAAGCATCAGGCTCACTCTCACTCTCTGGGGGCTGCCAGGATTCCAGTGTGTGTCCAGCTGGCACGTGATGCGTGCCTGGGATGATGCGCCTGAGCTCTCCACATTCTAAGGGGTTGCTAGAACAATGCAGGAATTGGTAGAGGTTCCAGATTTCAGAGCTGGCTTTGAAATAGAAAGCAAAGTGCGCTGCCACCATTGTAAACAAGTGAAGCCTTGAGCCCTTCAAAAAAGACTGCCAAATGGAGGGCAGCTTCGTCGGGCCGTTCTCCCAAGTCAGTGGCTCGAGCGGAAGGTTCAAGGTGACCACAGGCGGTGAAGCCGGAGCCTGTGGCTGGCCATGCTGGCCATGCTGGCCATGACACCCAGGGAAGTTCAAATCCACATGGAGCGGTTGATATTCCAAAGTGCCCGAAAGGACGAAGTCTCCACCCGCACCCGCGCACACGTAGCCGGACTCACCGAAGATGCACCGCAGGATCGGGGTGACCTACATAGACAGCTGTCTTCTAGTCTCATTCAGAACAAAGAGATGAAAAAGCTTTAGCCTTCTCCAAGTCAACGAGAGAGGCCCATTCCAGGCGGTGCAGGATGTGACCCGTGAGCTGCGCCTCGCCCAGAGAATACCTGCCCCGTCCACGATTGCCAAGTCCTAGAGGGTCTCTGCGCCTCATTTCTGCTTCCTCCGCTTTGCATGCCAGGAGGAGCTCGTGACACTTTTGCTTGCTCAAAGCTCCAGGCACCAGCACGAAGCCCGCATCAATGAAAATCTCAGCTGCCAGCACAGGGTCCTCCTCCACAGTGAAAAGCTCAAGCTCAGGAAGACCATTTTGTTGCTTTAGTTCACGCCGTAGTGCTTCGCCCGGCTTGCGGGCTTGCAGGCACACGAAGTTTGTCTTGTTCAAAGCACGCCATGTTGCACAGCCAAAGGCAAAAGCCCAAGCTGAAGTGATCCTGGTCTTGGATTGCCCCGTGTGCCGGGGATGCCGAGGCCGAGGAACACGTGGTAGGTTCTTTGCGAACACAGAAGCCAAAGGGACACTTGCTGAACCACTCAGAGCCAGCTGCATCTGTCAAGGGCAGTTTTCGCATGAGCATGGCAGGACGGAGTCTTGATAAGCTGAGAGCTTCACCTTCCGCCTCTGTTCCAGCTCATGCCTGGCTTTGGCAGTCCTGTACTCTTCTTGCTCCTGCACATGGACCCCATACACATCAAGCCCATTACTGCGAGGAAAGGCACCACGAATTAGAACTGCTTCACAAAGCACGTGGCCTTGAGGCGTTTGAGCTTCCTTTCCTCTGCACCTGCAAGAATAAGCAAAGGAGACTGTTGTGGATGCTCAAATGCAAACACGTTCCATGATATCAAACCCTAAATGGTCTTTATTTATGGTCTCCCCAAATGATGGAACGTTTTTTTGAGCTACAGTCAATTTTCCTACATAAGTTAATGGACATGGGTTCCTTATTCAGGACTATACTCGGCACTATGCTAGACTACAGAAGGGAACCCTATGTCCACTGTTGAGGGTCGCTTTATAAGGCTAATAGTCACAGTAGCTCATGTCCATAGACTCACTGATGATCTCAAAGGAGCCTAGACACCGTCACCAAAGAATAGAATGAAATCCCATGCCTCCTGATGTTTGGACATTGACTGAAAGTAACTCTGTTGAGTCAGGCGTCCTGCCTGTAAGCGCTGGTGGCGGAGAGGTGCCGTCTGCCAGGAAGCGCCCACTGCCGAAGACCTTTAGAAGGCAGTCGGTTCCAGCACGCTCTAAATCTGACCCATCCTCTGGCTTGGTGCCAACCGGCTCCCATGCACACATGGCCTGCTTGTCGCCCATGGCTTTGAACATGCTGTTGAAGTCCTTTGCTGCCTTTCGCTCGATTGCCTTGATCTCCTGCTGAGGCTGGATTGCCATGCTGCAGTCTGGCTGTGGCAATGAGATTAGAGCAGGTCACAAATGCCTCCTTGCGCTCACGGACATCGTCAAGAATCTGCTCCTTAAACTCCTGTTGCAGGGCAATGCAAAAGCTGAAGAGCTAAATTCTCAGACATCTCAAGCGCATTGAAGGCTTGCGTTGTGGCGCCATGTCCTCGTCCATATCCTCTGCAATCTGTTCCACTTCATCAAGCACTTCCAGAGCCTCAGCAGTGGCACCACAACGAAAAGCTGAGCCACCACAAGCAAACACAATTTGTCCTCCTGCAAAACAAAACATCTGCATCCAACCAAGAGCCTACTCTTGCATGGAACTTCATGGAAATTCCGAGCCTCGTCTGTTCGGCCAAGGCCTCAAGAAACGTGATAAGTGCTTCTTGCTCCAGAAGCGTCTGATCTTTAGTTTCTGGTCCCTTGTGTCAGTTGCCTTCAAGTGCCTGCGCCTTGCGGAAAAGAGCCTGCAAGCAGGAACGAGGCGAGTTCACGTGGGAAGTGGCATCAGACATCATCCCGCAGCCAAGCCTTCTCGTCATCCATCTTCAGCTTCAATGCAGAGTCTGCCCTGCGCAGGGGATGGCTTTCTGAGACAGAACCGCCTAGGCCTCAACAATCAAAGTTCCAGCAGACTGAGGGCCCCAGCGCTCGCAAAGCTGTCTGCCACTGATCCACCATCAGGGCCGCGTTGGCCTGACAGCCACAACGGACACGGTACTGACCAGTACCTGTGAACCACAACCCGCAAACAACAGACTTCTTGAGGTTTCCCCAACCGCCTTGTTGTTCAAGCACTGGCGGTGCATCGTCTTCAGCTCCTGTTGCAACCCAATCTTGTGCGCTCTCACGAGCTGATTCGCAGGCCTTGTTCTCTTTGTCAAGGTGCGGCTCGGCGGCGAAATTCTTCAGCATCTCGTCACCCTGGCAATACCTTCCACATCCGCAGGACACCCAAGTTTGAGGCGATAATGGATAACAAAGCATGAAGCATCTTTGGCTATCAAGGCACCTTGTCAGCGCACCTTCCCAGTTCTCGTTCAAGAAGGCCTCATGAATCAGCGCAGTTTAGAGCGAAGCCAAAGCAACAACTGGATAGGGGCCCGAGACTCCAAAACTCTAGCTTGCTTGGCTGCGGCAGCTAAGAACCAAAAGCAAAGAAGCCAAGGGCATGTCTCAATACGCGCTTCTGACAATCATGGCATCCACACTTGCACAAAAGAGTACTAGCCGGGCCTCGTTGCCTTCAGTCTTGATACGCTGGCCAAAGTCCAGGACACCCTGCCAATTGCTCGTGATGGGTATCCGGGAGTTAAATGGGCTATGCCTGCTACGGGCACGAGTTCCTCGGATTATCCTTCTACTGGGCAGCAAGCGCTGCAAGGCCTGGATCTCTCGCTTGTCCAAAACCTGCTTCCTGTCTGGTGCCTGGAGAAGCAGCATTTCTTCCCATGTTGACCATGTAAAGCTGCTGTCCCACCTCCCCATCAATGCCGCCCGGAATGCAGTCAGCTTCCACAACCATCTTATCCATGAGGTCTTCCTCCACCTTAAAATTGGGAACGCCGAAGCCAAAACTTGTTGTTTGATATCAGCAGCTGACCTCTTCTTCTGCCTGCCAGCCAGCTACGCCATAGGGACCAGCTGTGATCTCAGCCTGGCAAGGAAGTAGAGGCGCCCTTTTGATGGGAAGAGCAATGACGTCTTGCGGATTCTTGCGGACAGGGTCGCTCGCAAACTTGAGACAGTGAAGGAGCGAAGGTGTGTGTCCCAGTGCCAGCTGGCCTTGATGGCCTGAAGCCGGTGGTACACCTGGGGTTGCCTCGTCAAAATGCTCTTTCATGGCTTCAGCATCTGATATGAAGCCCCGGCGGAAACCAAGGTAACGACCGCAGCTTGTCGCAAAAGAGAAGGCCTTCCTTGCGTGCTTCGCACAGGACCTGGCCATCATTTTTCAAGCTCGACTCTGTCCTGTCTCCCATCTGGTTCCTGTACCCATGCTCCCGGACCTTCCACAGGTACTGCTGGGTTATCTTGTACCTGTCCCAAGCACAAACCAACTGGGCATGCTACTTCACTGCTGGCATCAGAGCAGTCAAGGCACCGGAACATTGGGGAAATGAGGTGCTTGACATTGGTTGCACACTTCATCAACTCATTCATAATTTCATACCTGCAGGCACCATTTCCAAAATGAGTGGCATAGTGCCGATACGTTTGGGCAGCCTCCGCTGCTTGCGCTCTAGTTTGTCCAACTTGGTCCGCTGGGCGGCCTGCATGTTAGTGAGTAAGAGATGCTGAAAAATGATGTAAACAACTCTCTCCGGAACCTCTGCTGCGCTTTCATATTTCAACTTGGACCGCATGGCCGCTTGCACCTGCGACATGACTGCTCTGCCGTGACAAGCCTGCTCAAGCTCAACTGCGCATTTGAAGAACTGCTGCTTACACAGACAATGCCTCTGGCCGCTGCATAAACTTGTTCCAGAACTCAGGATTCCTGCGCGGAATACGGCTGAAGAAACTGGGACCTGGATGACATCTGAAGCCAGCAGCTGTCCTGACATCTTTTGCCATGGCTCAGGCCAAAAGAGCTCACTTGTTGATAATGTTGCTGGTGATGACGTGGTAGCTTGTTTGCTTGTAGCATCCTGAACTTCGCTCTGACCACACCACAAGGATGCTGCCGCTACTGCTCGTAGAAGAAATATCTCACAGCCAAAAAGAAACTGAAGTATGCCAGCATGGAGTCTACTGCTGAACCTTAAGCTTGCGGAATCTACAATCAACCATGGCGTTCTCGAAGGAATTCTCTCAAAAAAGTCCAGCAAACGTGTATGACGTGCCAAACGCACCGCTGCCCTGCTAGGCAGACGGTTTGCTGCTTCAATGTCCCTTTGTTTCAGGACTGCACAACTCAGCTAGCTGGAACCAGTATGGAATTGCAATCAACATGAAAGGACGTGCTTTTTGCCCCTGCCATAAATGCAGCGAATGCCCAAGCAAGTCAAGCAAGCTGAGTCGCATACAGCTGTTCTGCACGCCCACTCACACCAGTGCTGGGTCACATGACAACAAAGGCAGCAGTGCTCGGCAAAGCAGCTGAGATAGCAAGAGTCAGAGGTATGGGGAAGCCACCCTTACCATTTATGTCAAGCCAGACACCAATGAAAGTAGCAATAACGGCGCTCAGCAGCAGTACACGGCCAAATCTCCCATGCCAGGTGACGCTCCTCACCTCGTAGTGGAGAAGGACAAATCGCTTCCAAAGACCCGCGCAGACTTGGATCAATACTCCAAGTACCACAGAGTAGCCAAGCACCACATGAGCGAAGCGGCCCATACCCCGCTTCAGCGTCCACTTGCTGCCTTTCACATCGAGGCCGCCCAGCTGTCCCTCTCCGTTTTCCTGATGAGCTTTGAAGATGAAGATATACCCTGCAATTGTGAGTACACCCACAACGAGCATGCAGAGCATGTGAACGGATCGTTTGTAGTTCTTGTTATTCTCAACTCCTTGCAATACATCAGCTTTGTAGGCCCAGTAGCCCAGCACCGCAAGGAATGGCCAGGCTATGCCCATCGAGACTATATGCCAAGTGAAGGTGTTGGAAGGGCCCGTACCTCCCAGAGAAGGTTCTAGAGCCGCAAGTGGGATGACTATCCCCAAGGCAAGGCTTACAACTGTCACAGGCCAATCCAGCGAGATTTCACTGATTGCAATCAGGGACAAGTTGAGTTGGAGCAAAGCTCCCACAAGGAGCGTAGCAGCCAGGATGTTCATACTTGCATTGGCAGAGCTGCCAATCACAATTTCTTGGCTTGCCCGGCTGATTGTGCTGCCAGCTGCTATCCCAATGAATATGGCTGCCTGGTTCAACAGCATCAGGTTCTCCGAGCTAAAGAACGAGTTGGCGAGCGAGCGCTTGACGCAGAATGACGTAAGAACCCCCGACCAGATTGCATTCGACGAATACGCAAGAATAGAGGCAAACACAAATTGCAGGACACTAACTGAAGTTGAGAGCTGGAATGGTTGAAACATTAGCAACACACCAAATAACTGTGCAAGCTCGAGGCTGCGCAACAACATGGTATCCGAATACTTGCCCGCCACATACTGAGAAAAGGCATACTGCGCAATGGCCATGGAAGCCACAACAATAATGAACATGACACCAGCCGTGGAGGCTGACCAGCCATACATCACCTGCACCGCAATGACTGAACCACTCTCCCATAGCAGCCTGCCAGATACACGACACTGCATTCCGTCGTGCTAACTCCATGCAACGAGCACAGGCAGGTGCAACGTAGCAAACAACTCTCTTATGCCGCCAAGATTCCGTTGACCCATTCTGATAGTGGCACTTGTGATGAGTGTGAGGAACAAGGCAAGGCCCTTGTTGCCATTTGGGCGCTCCGGCAGCCCGTCCACTTCCTCTTGCACCAGCGGCTCATCCTGAATACCCGCCTGAGCCTCAAGTTTAGAAATATCGTTAGGGATGAAGATTAGCACCAACGCCCAAAGCACGCCGCCCCATAACACCATGACGCAATTGGCCAACGCATCTTTGGTCTGGCTGCTCGGGAAGAGAAGCAAGCTAGTTGAAGCTAGTGCAGGGCCTAGCACAACACCGAAAGCCACAAAGAATTGGTACAGGACCATATGGGGTGTCTTCTGCTGGCCCCTGGCAAAATGCACCATGACCATTGCTGAATTGTACCTGTTTGTCACCATGGTTGACAAAAAACAGTTTAGTTGCAACAAAAACACAAAGCAAGCACATATCTTGGCGAGACACATGCCACCGGCACCTAAGCCAGTGATTATTCTGCTCAGAAATAAGGCTAGCAGCCCCATGGACTGCACGGATGCCCAGGCATATAGGCCGTTTCCCACCATCATGCTCAAGGCCGTGAGCTGGTAGGCAATCTTCAGCTGAGCCAACCCAAACCATCTGAAGAGCAGTAAGCCGAAAATTGCACCGAGGCACTCACTTGCAAGGATGTATCCAGACGTGGTCAACTGCTCAGCCTCTGTTTGAACAGTGAGCAGAATCACGGTTATATTCGCCATAACCTCGGTTGCTGGCAGCTGGTTGCACGTTCGCACAAAGAGTGCAAGACCTTTGCGAATTTGCTACCAAATCTGACCTCTGAAACATGATTTCACCATGCTTGCAGCTCTGGAGGATGTCGCCGAATAGACACGGCACGACACTCAGCCACTCACATTCTCAAATCCAACCTGCATTTAACATTTTTTCCTTTCATATGATCCCGGGCATGTCAAAAGCAAACAACTGAGAGGTGAACGCCGATGCACAATATGCCGGTGATGCGAAGCAAGCCTGGCGGCGGTGCCGCATCCTTCTGAGGTTTCCCTGATGCGTTCTCAGTGGGCAAGCCACCCAGCCGTCGTATCAGGAGGGGCAGCAATAAGAGCAATGAGGCAAAGGTCAGTGTGCCTACCACGAGTGTGGCAAGTGCAAAATTTGCTTCGCCGACTGGCACTTCACCGCCAAACAGTTCTCTTAGTTGCACACCCCAGCTTGAACTCAGCTGTGGCCCAGAAGTAATCTTCAATTGTATCAATTGCACAGGACTTGGAACGTCCACATGGCATGGAATCCCATCGCACAAGTCCGATATGGAGGTTCTCATTTCAGGCTTCGATCTCATCACTAAGGTTCCCGCTCGAGCATGGTAGGCATCGCACCAACCCAATCCTAACGACAACACTACGAAACCATACAAACCTGTTCGCCAACACCACGTAAAAACAAAAACAAGCACGGACTGAGTTTTGGCGAAGCACCTACGTGACCTCTTCACACCAGTACGGCTTCCTGGAAAGCGTATTGCACATGAACATGCAGGATGCACCATTACAAAACAAAAACAACAGCATCCCTATGGTTTGTCCAGGTCTTCTGGCCTTTGCTCATGTCTGACAAACTGCACGAATTTTAGCATGTGTGGTGGCAAAAGTTTCGAAAACAACGGTATGCAAAGTTTGCGCAAGGCCTTACAGGTTTGCTCATAAAGAATGTTGTCGACCATAATTCGTCTACACAATATGTACGCCGTACGCAACTTCGCAATAAATCAAGGTATGAGGTCCAAAAAGCAAAAAGCAAGGGATCCCGTCGAATCAACCGCAATCATGACAACATGCGTATGCTCGGCGATGAGAGAAAAACAAGACAACGTGTTGTTTTCACACGGCAAATAAGGGTGCGTGCGCATAAACAAGAATTGATTCACATTGCCATTTGTCATCAAGCCAAGGGTTTCAAAGATGACCTACCAACACGAACGCACTTTGTCCGGAATCTATCTTCGCACTTTCCCTTCACAATGTTACCAAGCTGCACAAACGGCATTTCAACAAGAGGCAAGTCAGGGTCTTGATCTGAACACACAGAGGTGCAAGAATTGAAAAATCCGAAACATGCCCAATTCAAGCCGCTCATCGTTCAGATGCAAAAACCATTCAGGCTGACAAATACTAATTGCACCTTGTGGGCTGTGGCTCACACATTGCCCAAATCCTTATGGTTGGAATGCTGGTATGATGCCGGGCAAGCATGAAAATGATGATTTCTGGCAATGTTGACGGTACATCGGTTGACCTATATACGCCACGTCTTTCGCAATTTCCTTGCAAACGTAACGACACGATCCATGACCTCAGCAAAAGGAGCGCCATAGATTCCGTGACATTGACCCGAATGTCGGCAAACAACTCTGCTTGGGCGTTTCTACATGTTGCAATGTTGCCTGTGATGTGCACCACTCCCATGTCACGTATACAAATGGCAATAAAGGAGTTGCTCAAAACAATCCCCACGCAATCCCGGCCCTGATGGGGACCCCCACAAGCCTCTTTTGAACCCTAGATACGCGCCATGGAAAACATCGTTTTGAAAAAACGTATTCGTTGACAATTTTGCACGTGTAGAAAATATTGGCAAGCGCAATATTTCAGGCGATTTCGAAAAATTGAACTTGCTTGAAACTTTTTAGCTGGCTCACATTTTTACGAGAAACACCGTGCGATGATTTTCAAGTTCCGACGCGCACGTGGTGGTCGTTCGAGGCTGGAAGACGTTGAAAATCAAAGGTGTGAGAAACACTGCGACTGCCAAGCCAGCCAACGAAGCGTTTGGACAGCATCTCGACGCAGGCGGAAATGGACGAAATGCTGGCCTGCGCCAGGGATTCCTGCATCGCGCCCATAAGCAAGTTCGCGCGGTTTGTCGCTTCCACCTTCACATTGTTTCTGGGCCAAAAGAACAACACGCAAAACGCTGGAACGGCGCAAATTCCGCTGACGCAAAGGACATTCGGCCCCGAATACTGGATGAACGCTATTAGGGCTTGGGCATGGATGCTCTAATTATCGTGTGCTGTCAAAGATGATTGCCACTATGGTGCGAACATGAAATCTTTGGTTCACTGTATGCTCTCAAAGATGAACGTATTATGGTTTTGGCAGGGCTCCTCACCAGATTGGACTGATGGAGCCACACACCGTGAGTGACGCCGTGCAAGGGGCGGACGTCGCTGTTGGGCTTCTCCACAGCGCCTGTTGCTGCAGTCAGAACTGCACCCTCGCCGTATTTTCGAGCGGCAGACGCGACAGTGGTTGCAATCATCACCCTTGTCTCCTCATCCCTCTTGAACTGGGCTTCCAACTGCTCACAGCAAAGTTCATTCATTACTTAGTGTTGAGCTGAACTTCCAAAGCGAATGCAACATGCAACTGCAACAGCAAGCGAGGACCTTCTTTTTCTTGGCTTGGCGAAATTCTGGGATCCATCCTTTGCCTCTTCATCCCAAGTGGATGGAAGCAAAGATGTCTAGAAACAATGCACAGCAAAGCGGATCACAGTATTACCAGTCTCAAATTGCCAAGTCAAATCTTCCCCAGTGTGAAAGTGGCCTACGAGCTCACACGGCTAAGCTACCGCAGAAGCACAAGCGAAGCAAGGCTAGGCTAATGCTGAAGCCAGAACAAGGAAAAGCTGGCATGCCGGCTGGCTCAGAAGCCACGCTCCGCCTCGTGAACAATGTGAGTGCAAAGGCCCAAACTGCCCGCGAGGAAAAGCGGAGCGAACACGGGCGCAGGTGCTGAAAAGCAAAGCCTTGTGACCTCAACGCCATGGACCCGGCTGCCTTGGAAGGCGCCACTGGAGAAAAGTGTTGGAAGGAAAAAGTTGTGGCTGAAGTGGGGATGACTCTTCCCATCTGCTCAAGGCATCCGCCTCAATGTTTCTCTCCCCTGAAATGTGAGAGCAGGAAAGAGACACAGCATGAACACATGCCCGCATAGCCAAGCGCTGGACGAAAAAAGCCAAGGGCTGCTTGCTAGTGTACAGGCGATTGATGACGCTTGCTGCGCAGGCATTGTCACTGAGCGCAGGCAGTCTGCCTTAGAGTGCAAGGATTTGTGTATGGCAGAAAGCAAAGTGGAACCCACCGGAATATCTGTTCCTCGGGGAGTGCTCACGAAGCGCAGGGATTCTGAGAGGCGCGCGCCCAGGCAAGGCCAATCTGAGGGATCAATGCTGTAAGAGGAACCCCCCGGCGGCGCATGTCGTCATAAAGACAGCAAAGCCAAGGCCGCAGTTCTGGTGCACATTGAAGAATCCACTGCATCAAGCCCAAGACTTTATCCAAGTGCTTTTTTCAAACGTGCCGGCCAGAAAAGCAGGATTCAAGCACTCCTGCAAAATTGAGCTCCCAGCCGATCCAAGTTATCCTACGACCCATTTGTAACTTTGGCCAGCTAATGGGTATGCCAAAGCAGGCAAAGAAGCAAAGAACGACAGAGGCCCCCAGAGGGAGGACCTTGCAATTTTGCCACAGGTCATCGGAGTACAGCATGAGCACTTGTGCCAAGAACAAAAGCTGGCGCAGTACTCTGACAAAGAAGCCTTCCAAGCGAGCAAACCAGTGACTTGAGAACACCGCCCCGAAGGGGGCTACCTGATAGAACAGGAGGCGTTCCTGTTGACGGAAACCTAAGAGGCCCTGGTCCTTTTCACGAATCCGCCCCGTCTTGTGAGCGGAACGAATATCTGCAGAGAAGGCTGAAACCTCTTCGGCATCTTCCCGCAGCACAAGCAGAGCGGATGTCTCCCAAAGAAGGAAGACAGGACTTCTCTGGCACTCGACATGCCTGGTTCGTGCGACATACCGAAGAGTCTATGACTAAGCGTGGTTTCTTCCCTGGGGCGTATACTGTGTTGACACGGCCAACCGCAACCCGCTCGAGTCCGAAGTGGGCTTGAGCAGCCTCCAAAGATGGGAATTCCGTAACAAGCCTTTCGCTTCGTCAACAACGA